TGGATTTTGCAGTGTGCATACGATGGACACTTCACTATCCCATGATGCCCTGGGAGAGGAGTTATCCAACGAAGAAGACGCTGCTATGAAAACGTATGTCACGTGATGTATCAACATGGCGGATGTAGTACGTCCGAATCTCATTCATACTACCAGGCTTCATACTATACAGTACCTACTGTTTTAGCGGTCAGTAAGTAGGTACTTCATCTCTTTCAGTACGTACTGTCACAGTATGCGGTTTCGGACGCAACCAGAGTCACGATGATCATCAGGTAGGTTCTACATTGAATTAATCCCCGGGCGAGACACCCCAGGAAAAAATACACTAAATTTTGCCCAGTGATGTTTTACTGTAACAATACAAGTGTAAGACAAACTTCTTTCTCAATTGCACAAATCCTTCTACAGAACATTTGAAAACCATGAATGAAATGTGCGTTATTTGGAAGAAAGTCAAGGTGTCACTGACTGAGTTTAGTCTACTAGGTGGACACCCCCCCCATATGATATATAATAAAAAAAACGCTTAGCGGGCGCCACTGCAGGTAATCAACGGCAGGGAGATAGCAGGAGGTAAGATACCCGGAGGTAAGTTCAGCTGGGAAACTTACCACAAGAGTGCCTGCACCAATATAACAAAGTAAAACAACAGCACAGAAAAACTGTTTGCGTTGAAATCACGTAACATAAGGACAAACACATACAATGCTCTGGCGACAAAGAAGCGTCTGCCAGCGGTTTAAATAGGGAAGGAAGGTGATCAGTGGAATGCGCCTCAGCTGTGTGCTTCACCCAATAAGTCGCTGATGACACAATGCGCCACAGCTGAGGTGCCAAGCTGCAGGATGAGAGAGATCGAGAGAGAGAAAGGAGGAAGAGAGGTAGGTCGTGCCGACCTGACACTATTGGTTTGCACTGGTTTTTACTTAGCTTTTTTTTTTAATACAAAGAAGTGTGTGTTTCATCTTACAAACATCTGCTGCTGATTTCACATTAGCAGAGTCATGGTGCTGACTGATAGTATTTGTTTTTTGTATCTGTTAGTCATTTCACAAATGTGCTATGTTTGCCTTAGTCTAGTAGGCCTCAATGCTGACAGCTACAGTATTATCAATGAAAAGTAGCTAAAGCCTGCTTAAAAAGCCATTAGTTGTCATGAGATGATGTTACACTGATTTGCATATAGTGATGTGACATCATAATGTAGCTGCTGTATTTACATATATCCAAAATTTTAATAAACTAAGGCTGAAAAAAATGAGGGCAGTCTTCAACTTGAATTATTATTATTTTTCAAGTTGCTATCATCACATCTTTTTGGATCTAAATCTACGTCTAACTTTAAAAGCTTTTAACTGAAGTATCCTGAATAAAGAGAGTCCAAACAGTGGAATCAAATCACTCTGGCAAAGTTAGGGTTTTTTGAGGATAATAAAAAAAGTTACTGTAAATGTAACTTGATAAAGTTAATCAGGATAGTTGGATCATCCCTATCTTCAGCAATGTTTTCCAGATTCACTTGGAAACATCCCCTCCTCCTGCATTCCCAGACCAGATGAAAAAAGAAGGATATGAAGATGCACTGTTAACTGCAGTTACAACTGGAGGCCACTGAGCAGAAATACAGTCATATTTAGTTGAAACACTTACTTTGAAACTTAATCCTTGACTGTCTCTAAAACAAATGTGCTTGATATAGGTAATTAAGATTAGAAAGGTAAGACCACAGTCAGGTTAAAAATAGAAGTAGATGTTGCTGCAGTAAGCACTCTAACTTCTGAACTATCTCAGCACCTCCTACACACATGCACCTCCTAGCTTCCTGTTCAACACCACAGCTTTCCATTGTGGTAGGCCTATCAAACTTCACTGACAACTTTAGTGAGGCAAAGAACCTGCAACCCAGACTTGCTGAGATATTTGAATAGAATATATAGAAGAACTGTGGAACTGCACTAAGTAGGAAAAAATCCTTAATCTATTTTCTTTATGCACACTTGTGACTGATTAAACATGCCAAGTTTGCTGAATCACAGTCAATCAACCTAACAAGCAAAAAACAATGAGTAAGTCAGTTAAGCAATCGGCCAGTTGGTTACATATAATAATCTTCTGTGTGCTACTATTTCTTGTCCCAATCTATGAATGTTTTTGTACCTATTTTTGCCACGTCATTTATGTAATTTTAAGTGGTATGACAGAAGGGGGAGCTCTAAGCAAACCTATTGCAGCCTTCCTTATACAAGCTGGAGTCTGGACCAATATGTCCTCTGAGAGGTTCATTGACTGCAGCCTACAAGTGCTGTGTCCTGCACTTGACTCTCTGCTTGGTTTTGGTTACTATTCTGGAGGCACAGCTTTGCAGAGGCCTGCTTTTTTGATGCTTGAGTGACTGAATGTGACTGTGATACCTGCTTTCTGTATGATGCATAACACAAACCAAAAGTACATTTGAATTCCAGCCTGATATATGCTAGAGACACCAATATATACACATGAGATGAATGTATGGGTGCCTGGTTTTTATTCATCCTACCCAACATAAGTGTTATGAGGATCACATAAATGTAGAAATGATGCAAAATGCTGCTTGTGTGCCTTTAAGAGGATAGATCACATTATTATTCTGGGTTTGTCCACAAGCTGAGTGTGGAGGTGGACAGATAGTGGTTCTGAGGGTGGTGTGCAGGGGAGAGTGAAGGTGTGGGAGGGCTGTGCGTAGGAGTCTCCTAATATGAGTCTCCAGGGGCTAGTATAGAACAGAAGGAGAGGAAGAGAGATAGACTGTGAATAAGATGTCCTTTGAATGCATCTTGTTTTTTTACAGCATGTCCGAGGAGGCAGAAATATTGTAGATCCTGTGTTCCCCTGTTCTCCAGAATGGTGTTGCAGGTATAACACTCAAGACTAAGCTGCCCATTAACAAACCAATAATTTGTGTCATTATGTGAAGACTGCAGCTGGTGCCACTGATGCACTGCTTCTCACATGTCAGGGATGTGAACTGAAAGGAGGTGTAGTGCTGCTCATTATAAAGCTGGCCTCTCATCCCTGCTTCCATCCTTTGTCTTGTATGCATGCGTGGCAGAAAAGGCTTGCCCCCCTTTTTTTTTTGAAAGTCAGCATGCTCAATATAAAATCAATATATTAAGTGTTCTTGAGTATGCAGAGTGACGTGCTGCCATCCCCACTACCTAATTTGAATGATTGAAATTCTTCCATAGTGGAGCTGGAGTGAGTGAAGTGAAGGGCTCACACAGATGAAGGGGGAGGAGGCGAGAAAGGCTTGGCTTTACTCCAGGTGGAGGAGGTGAGTCATTCCCCACACAGTCTATGAGCGTGTGTATGTGTGTGTGTGTTGCCTGAAATGTGGCTGAGAGAATAAAATAAGTGCTGTGAGCAGCAAGATAAAAAATGAATGCCACTGTATACATTGTGCATCTCTACATGTTTGTGTTTGTGATTTCGTGTTCTGATAACAGTCAATGTCTGTTGTTAATATGTGTATTCTGCAGATAAATAATGACTGTATCTATGGTGTTTAGGCCAGCTGACCCTAGTTCCCAAAGCATGTGTAAGATTCACATTGCTCAGCATCAAACAAACTGAAGGAAAACAGGAGCTTTAGTAGAATAAAAAAATATCTGATAGATGAAATAAACTAGTAGGTATTGAAGTGCACTGGTTGCATCTTGACCACCTGCACAAGAATGGTTTTTTGAGGATGTTTCAGTCTGGTTTTAGATTCCATCATAGTACAGAAACAGCACTGGTGACAGCCACCAACAATCTCCTCCTAGCCTCAGAAAAATGGCTTGTCTCCATACTTGTCCTCTTAGATCTCAGTGCTGCTTTTGACACCATTGATCACAGCATTTTATTACAGAGATTAGAACATGCTATTGGGATTAAAGGAACGGCACTAGGTTGATTCAAATCTTATTTATCAGAAAGATTCCAATTTGTTCATGAACAAATTGGGGGTTGCTGTGGCTCAGGAGGATTAACGGTTTGATTCCCGGCTTGTCCAGTCAACATGGCAAAGTGTCCTTGAGCAAGACACTGATCCCCAGTTACTCTCAGTGATAACACTGGTTTGTGAATGTGTGAGTGTTTGTGAGTGCGAATGGGTGAATGGCCAAATAGTGTGAAAGCACGTTGAGTGCGCTGCAGTGCATAGAAAAGTGCTATACAAGTATAAGACCATTTATCATTTAATGATGAATCTTCCATGTTAGTTATGGCATTCCACAGGGCTCTGTGTTAGGTCCAATTCTCTTCACTTTATACATGCTCCCTTTGGGCAATATTATCAGGAAACACAGCATATATTTTCATTGCTACACAGATGAGTTGGTCAAATTTCAAACATTTCCTAAAGACATAAAAGCCCGGATGACCTGTAATTTTTTATTTCTAAACTCGGACAAAATGGAAGTCATTGTACTTGGGCCTGAAAATCTTAGAAATATGCAATCTAACCATATATTTACCCTACATGGGAAAGCCATGGCCTCCAGTACTGCTGTGATTTGTCCTTTAAATCACACATAAACCAAGTCTCTAGAACTGCCTTCTTTCACCTGTGCAATATTGCAAAAATCAGGAGCATCCTGTCTCAAAGTGATGCTGAAAAACCGGTCCATGCATTTGTTACTTCCAGGCTGGACTACTGTAACTCTTTACTATCAGGATGTCTCAATAATTCCCTAAAAATTCTCCAGTTAATCCAAAATGCTGCAGCCAGAGTACTGACAGGAACGAGCAAGAGAGATCATATCTCTCCCATATTAGCTTCTCTCCACTGGCTCCCTGTAAAATTAAGAACAGAATTTAAAATCCTTCTCCTAACATACAAAGCCCTTAATGACAAGGCTCCATCATATCTTAAAGACCTCATAGAGCCTTATCATCCTAACAGAGCACTTCACTCTCACAGTGCAGGTTTACTTGTGGTTCCTAGAGTCCACAGAAGTAGAATGGGAGGCAGAGCCTTTAGCTATCAAGCTCCTCTCCTATGGAACCAACTCCCAGTCTCAGTTCAGGAGGCGGACACCCTCTCTACCTTTAAGAGTAGACTTAAGACTTTCCTTTTTGATAAAGCTTATAGTTAGGGCTGGATCAGGTGACCCTGAGTCTTCCCTTAGTTATGCCGCTATAGGCCTAAACTGTTGGGGGTCCCCCATGATGCTCTAAGCTCCTCTGTCCTCTCCTCTCTCTCCATGCATCTTCTGTTCTCTCTCTCTCTGTCCTTGTACCTTTCTGCAGGTGTCCCAGGCCCTGGAGCTGTATGTTTCTGATGAGCAGTCACCAGCCAAGTGCTTGCTCAAAAAGTGTTTACTTTACTTTGTAAAGTGTCCCGAGATGTCTTTAGTTGCGATTTGGTGCTATACAAATACAATTGAATTGTTTTTTAAAATACAGGAGATCTCTTTATTGAAAGAGGCATGGTCAAAATAACAACACAGAATTTTACAGCATGTGTTCATTTCATACATTTTCACTCTTTTTGTCAGTCTTGTGCAGCTGTGCATTTATTTATTGTATTTATATACGGTAAACTGTGCACACTCGTTCACTTGTGTTTGTTGCAGATGCATAGCAACTGTATTTCCTGGGCCACCTGACTTCACCACCAAAGGTGGGCGTCAGGTTCATGCTGTCTCAGCATCAAACTAAATGAGGACAGCAATAAGTTTCAGTGGCAGGTCCTTTAACATTCTCCTGATTTGCAAACTAGATCACTTGGTCAAGTGGGTGTCATGTTTTATTTTTTCTTCACCTAGCCAGGATGGTCTCTTAAGGTTGAGACCTCTTTTTCAGAGTTGTAGATAAAGTGGTATGTAGCTCAATGAGATCTCAAGAGTGCAAACACATAAACACCCACCCACAGAGATGGTCCTAGCACATGAGTTTCTTTGTGTTCCATTTGCTATTTAGAGTCTTATCAAATAGCACAGGCACAGATTTTACTATATTCCTAAAGTATTTCTGGATTACTGCAATCACGTTGTTGGTGACTTGTTATCCAGCAGGGGAGGGGTGTATACAAAGAGGACATTCTGTTCTAGACAAAGCAAGTAACCAGGCATACAACTCTGCTGCCTTCTTCCACCCCCACCAGCCCATGCACCCCTGCCCACTAGTCTGTCTCTTCCTAACAACTCTGCCAGACTTTCTGTCTCCCTCCATCTGCCATATCTATCTATCTATCCATCTATCTATCTATCTATCTATCTATCTATCTATCTATCTATCTTCCTCACTTTCTGTCTTTTCCACCAACGCCATTGAGGAAGTGCAAATAAAAAGTTGTTGTCATGGAAACCTGACGTGCCTTTCCTCCTCTCCCCTCATCACCCCCTCAACACACTCAAACTTGTAGGCATGCATGTGTGCACATGCATACACATAAAACTATCTTGCATCTATTTTATAAACACTTAAGAGACAAGGATGACTTCAAGAGACAATATAGAAAAAAGACATCAAACTCTTGTGGAGACAGATGGAGTGAGAATGCAGAAAACCATTGGGAGACAAGAAACTATATAAAGTGCAAACCACTACAATTTAACCTACACAAACAGTACAGTGCTTTTTTTCACTGCAAATATTCTGTACTGTGCCATCTTCATAATATATTAAGTGCATAGCAACTGAACTTGACCAAACACTGAAATAGCTCTTTGATAACAAGAACAAGAGTGAGCTTGGCGAGGTGCCAAGTGAAGTACAGTTTTAAGATGGAGGAACAACTGGTTGATTGCTGATGCTGTTGTTGTCACCCCCATGGTGACAATATGGTACTGAGGAAGCCGGCTGTGCTTGCCATCTCCTAGGAAAGGAGACACATATGCGTTCACATACAAACCGTAACACAGGTTGCTGTGGGAGTGTCCCCAGCTGCTTGTGGGGCTGACACACTTCCACTACACCCCCTGTGCTCAGTCCCAGGGGAGGGCGCTTGTCCTGCAGGTTTCCATTCATTCAAGGTGAGATACAGATAACATAAGTTGCTACCATGACAACGGTTGGTTGGGTAAAGATGTGCGGCATGAGTCTACATGTTGGTTGATAATGAAGTTGCCCCTCCTTTCTTTTCCTCTCCCTCTTCCAGTGGAACAGAAGAAACATGGGTGAACGGTTACAGTGTTACTGTTTTGTATCAATCTCCATACCATGTTTTTATGCTTTTGTTTTTGGGTTTCACAGGATTATGTTAATTTGTAAAATGGGTGGATATACAGATTCTTGTCTGGTGTCTGGCTACCCTCAATCAATATCTAAATCAGTTCATTAGATGTAATTGTTCAGAGGTTTGTTGCTTTTTGAAGCTGTTTCACCTGAAATGCGGCTTCTACCCTTCTAGTATTTGGGTGTTGACTTCAGTGTATTCTTGCTTTCACGATTAGACAGTATAATTTTAATGTTAGCTTGCCACAGAGTGATGAGCCTGCACTTCCCAACTCTGTCCTTATGTGATGCATTGAACATGATTGGCATGTTGGGAAAGAAATAAGCCAAAAGAAAACAGAAGAACAAAGTGTTTGTCAAATTAATCTATCATCCCCCCAAGAGCTAATGTACTTGATATGATAATTATGTTTATTTATTGTCCAGATACTTGTTACACTAATTAGACTTTAACAAGCCTATTAAGCAGAAGTTTGCATGGGAGATACACATTGCTGTCGTCTGTGGTGTTGTTGTTGTTCCAATCACAAATTTTAATCAATAATCACCTTTATTTGACCAAGTATGTTATACACAAGGAATTTGTTTCCGGTACAGAACCGATGGCAGCCTTCTGCGGCGCCAACTCAATCGATGGCTCTAACCATCTAACTTGAGGGCTCAGTGTCTTGCCCAAGGACACTTTGACCTGTGGACTGCATGCACCAAGATTCAAACCCCAGACTCTCCGGTTGGGAGGCGACTGCTCTCCCCACTGAACCACAGTCACCCCAGAACTTAAAAAAAATATTCCTATAGTGATGGAGTGTCTGTGCGCCCTCATATGCAAATCATTGTACTTTATAAATAATCTTTTCTCCCTCTCAGTTCCAGTTCATCCACCCTGATTTATTGCATTCAGAACGACTAACACTGCACCAGCCTGTAGATAAGAAGATGCATTGCTTGAGACATTTGAAAGGACTTACTACCCCCTCATCTGTCTGTCCATTGTCAGCATCCTCCGTGCCCTATAATGAGAATGTGCACACCCAGGCCATTATAAATAGCCCATGTCCTGATTAAATGCAACACCTTTCTTTGGGTGCTATTTGGGCTGCATGATTCACTGTGATTCATGCCACTGTGTTTTCTCTCTGTTCTCACAGATGAGCTGGATGACCAGGAGGACATTGAAAGTGCTGCAATGGGAACATGTGTGTGTAGGCTTTGCCACATGTGTAACTGGTAAACTGCTAAAAGACAGCTAAAGAAGGACAAATTGAAAGTGCACAGCGGAAGTTGTCAGCCCACTTTGGACCCCATTTTCAGAAAAATCTGGCCTACTTGAAGGAGGGGGGGGAAACATACTGTGGGTGAACTGCTATGGTAAATTGGTAATATGTGTGGCTGTGAGTATGTGTTTCTTTCACATGTGTCTATTTTTGTACAGGACAAGGTGCAGCTACTTAAAAAATGGGAAATGCTGTTATCACACTGCCGGTGTTTTTCTACTGTGCATGCATACATCACCTCTTTCTTAGCTGTGTTGACATTATGATTGAGTGACACCCTGTTGTCTGTTGTCTTTGTGCCAGCAAGGTAGTAGGGACAGATAGGAATTAAGGGACTGTTACAAGAGCAATGAGGGCACATATTGTACTATACACTTTGCATGATGCTTTGTGCAACCTAATATGCTGCCTGCTTGTTTATCTACTACTTATTTACACTGATATCACTTGGCATCTGCTCCTGGGACTGTATGCATGTTTGTCTTTGTACACCATGTGTGTGTCCATGCACGTCTGTGATTTCAAGTGCACCGGCTCCCAGTGGCTATGTGGGTGTGCGGTGGGTAGCTTGGAGTTACATTAATAGCCAAAGTGCGGGCAGGCAGGGCGGGAGGGAGGCCATAGACAGGAAAGGAAAATACAGTTTGCTAGTCGCCCACTACTTCCTGTGTGTCTCCTACACACAGCCCACGGACCAGAGCTGCTTCTAAAACCAGTTTGTTTGTTGCTTGCAGCACAGTGCAGATAAGATAGAACCAAAGGTAAACAAGTTGACAAAGGGGCGAGGAATACAGCTAACTAAATAGTGATGGATTTGTCACTATAGAAAGATTATGCAAGTTGCACTTGCCTGTGCTACCCTACTCTTTCCTATTCTACTTGGCAAATGTGTGAAGTGAAGCAACAAAGAATTACAAGGACAAAAGCAACATGAAATAAAAAATATTTTATAAAGGGATAAGCTGCCTGACACCTTAATCCTATCACTACATGATCAAAAGCCATTAATATTTAAGCAAAAATATATCAATGCAACTTTATCCTGCTTTTACTGTTAAACTGAGAGTGTAATCAACAAAGCTGACACTCATTCCTTCCTTATTAATGACAGGAGGATTGTAGTATTAAGGCATATCCAGCAGAGGTCATTCTCTCATTAAGTGTTGTCTGTCTGTATCCTGAAGTGGAGAAAAGCAGTGAATAGGAGATGAAGGTGAACCACAACACTTAACAGTGTTTCAGCTATAACAATGTAACATAGAGCAGATAATTATGTGATCACAGGATACAAAGTTTTATCTTTGTATCTTAATTGTTGAAAATCTTTCTCTTTTACAGTAAATCTGACTTTGTTAGTTACTGTGCAGCAACAAGCAGTCACCGCCCCTGTTTGACACTGTTGACCTACGCATGGAGAAAGATTTCACACAAGTCACTGGGTTGCACACATTCTTTCTTCTGGTAAGAGCCCCCCACCCCCCGCCGCCTTTCTGGGATCCCACATACCCATTGAACTTTCCACCCACTCACCAAGGAATGCAGAGCGAGGGAGGGGTAGGAGGGGGCTGTAAGAAGCCAAGATGGGGGATATAAAGGGTCGAGTGGGACAGGGAACAGAATGAAGAAAAGTGAAAAGATACGGGAAGACTGAGTAAAATGTAATTTAAAATGCAATAATAATAAATAGTCCTCCTGACATGTGTTCTTCTCACTTGACTGTTGGTGTGGTAATTAGAGAATGGATGTGAATGAGAATGGACACAGGGACAAAGGCAATGATGACACATCATGTGGCTCCTCAACGCAGAGGGGGCTATTTAAGGGAGGATTGCATTGGTTGAGGATTTCTGCTTTGTGGAAACAGGTGACAAGAACAAGAAAAGGGCATGTAAATTGTTGATGAACATGCCGTACACATGAAAACACACAAAAGCATATATAATTGTCTAATGATGTGGCTGAAGTGTCTGCTACTACTACAGTGTGATGCAGATGATATATTGTGTGTGCGTGCATATAAATGCGTGTGTTTGTGTGTGTGATTTGTTATTGTCCCAACAGTAAAAACCTGTTTGTTCATTTTATTTTTGACATCCTGGTCTTGTCAGCAAGTTGCTACTGTTTCTCTCTGTCCCCTTTTTTCTGTTTGAGAGACCTTAGTACTGATGAAAGCAGGTACCTTGGTATGCTGTTCACTGAATTAGGAATTCCACAGCGTAAAGTGGCAGCATTGTTGATGAAAGGTTAGGGCTGTTTCAAATTCTCCCCCTGTATGAAAAGGCCCTCTCTCCAGCAGTTGAGGGATGACATTTTGGTTGCATCAGCTGTATATTTAAAGTGTCTGTAGCAAAATGCCAAAACGATCAAAGCCAAATAGGGAGCACCTAGGCACTCTTTGTTAGGTTATCTACCCGCAAACCTTAGTCAGACCTCATAAAAAGTCATTACGCCCCTCAGTGATGATTCTGTGAGCACCTTCTTTTTAATGATAAACACTTACGTGGTGGCAGTGAAAGGAATTCATCAGGTCTTTACATTAGGGATTAGATTCAGTGGTTCAATTAGTGCCTGTTCAAGGGCAGAATGGAGGATTGGAAACTCAGTGGATAGAACATGAAGAGATTTCATAAGAGGAGGCAGGTGGTGGCGACACAAGACATTTAAAGCACTCTCTTTCTCTACATCTTGATCTTTCTGTCTTACTTTCTCGTGCCTACCTCCAAACACACTCTTGTGACATAACACAGATGTGAATGAACATTTTCTCTCCATGTACACACGAGCTCTCTGTATCATACAGTGACTCACTGGGATTTGAGCACTTCATGTTTGTTTCTCCTTTCAGCCAGTGGCACCCCACAAAAGCGAATCATCAAGCTAGAGGTTTGGTCATATTTAAGGATTATCAAAAGAATATGAAGCTGAAAGGTAAACTTTGACTCTGTGCCCACCCAATAGGCAGACAGAGCTGAAAGGTAGAGCAAACAGAATGGATGTATTTGCTTTTCATGTGAAAATCAATGGGCCCAGACAGATGGCGGTTTGTTTCCTCACTATTTACTCCTCAACTCCATGACAAATGTCCTCACCGCCCCTCCTGGGCTGATGGTGCACAGGTAAGCAAAAAAGCCATCCCTTCTATTCCCACTCCAAAGGGATGACAGATGTGCCAGCTACAACCCTGTTCCTTTCTTCCTCTAAAGCCCAATCTATTCTTCTGCTATTGACCTAGCTATGGCAAACAGCATTGAACTCATTTAAAAAGAAAAGGTTTATTTGTTTAATAGGCTAGTCTGTCAGATAAGCATCTTTTTCCTTATCATTATCAGAAATACTGGCCACCTAACACTTTAAAAAAGCCAACTGGAAATGTTCCGCTATCAGAAAAGACAAGGCTTTTATTCAAAGCATATGGTTTGATGACTCATATTGTGGAACAGGAGTTAGACAGCCTCTATGGTTACATTACCACCAAAGATAGATAGTGACACATTTGTTGATGAGTTACTGCATGTCAGCCATGTCTAAAGTGTCTGAACTCAGAAGGAAGGTTAATTTGGCCATGAAAAAGGTCGAAGTGCTAAAGGAGGAGACACAATAAAGATGCATTGTCATTCTTATCTGAACCATGTAGATCAGGGGTGGCCAATTCCAGTCCTCGAGGGCCGCTGTCCTGCTTGTTTTTCAACTATCCCTCCCTGACCTGCTGCTGATTACCTGGCTCAGGTGTGTTCAGCCAGTCATAAGCTGGAAGATACCTATTCACTTTATCTTTTCTCACTCCACTTTCATCTATGATGGTATCTTCCAGAATCTGACTGGCTGAACACACCTGAGCCAGGTAATCAGCAGCAGGTCAGGGAGGGATAGTTGAAAAACAAGCAGGACAGCGGCCCTCGAGGACTGAAATTGGCCACCCCTGATGTAGAGAATACATCTATTGCTTGTCATTGTAAACTAAAATGTAATATTATTTTTAGATCAGCACACCCACTCTTATAAGCCATTTCCCTGGACACAAATTTACGCAAATTGCTTTTAGTGGAATTTACCCCAGCTGAGACTGTGTACAAGTACTTTTTCTGGTCTCAGTCAGTACAAACTCCAGCTCTAGAGGCAGAAATAATCCTCATTGGAATCAAACTGAGGTCTGCACTACCATATCTGTGGATTTTAATAGAGCCTCATGTGGAATCAGACTTTCCTTCTGCTGTTTGGAGAAACTTTTAAGTCAGACAGTGGCACCTGTGCTCAAGTAGACCAAGTCAGCACAGGAGGTACATTTTCTTTGATTTAGAAGATTTGTTTTTCCTTCTGATACATGACTGAATCAGATTTACAGGCAGACAGTTGGTCACGCAAAACTGTAGCATGTAACATGGGCGCCGCTCCCTATTTTGGAAGAGAAGGAGGGGTGAGAAACTACGAGGGGGTGGGGGTGAAAGTCAGCATTCCAGCTAGACCAGACTGGAGCAGAGATCATATGGGTTCAGAGCACGGGTGGAGGTGTGAGTGTTGTGGTGGTGGTAGTGCAGGGGTGTAGCAGATTAAAGAGCAAAGAGCAGTTCCTGATTCCACAGCCCTGAGCTCACCACCTTTGTGCCTGCCACCAGCCACTCCTTTTCTCCTTCACACCATTCTCGTCCTTCTCCTCCCACTCCTCCCTGCACTCTGTCTCTCCATCTGAGGTGTTAATTCCTTGTTGGGCAATTCTAGAGTCATTGGCATTGATGTTTTTTTTTCTTTTTCTTTATGGAAGCTTGGTGAAGAGGTGGGCGTGCTGCTATGGATCCTTACTGGAAGTGGAGATGTGTAGACCAGTAAAGTTGAAATGATTCACTGCACAAATGTTTTGACCCATTTTTGCAATATCTTATAATCCCCCTGGCAATTAAATGTGACCTGGCAGGATGAATGTGTCAGCGCACATACATTCATACACACGCAGGACAGCGGCCCTACACACACACATACACACACACACACACACTGAAGTACTGGATCAATCAGTGAAAGAAGGAGCAATACAACATAAAACAGGGTAGACTGAGGAGGAGTTCTGGATTGGTCATGCCTGTGTTTAACCCATTAACACTGGGTTTAGTCAAGCCACACTAAACCAGGAATGGTGGCTATATCCACATTATAAACCACAGCAGACTAGTGATAAAGCCAACTGTTACCATGTCATCCTATTAAATATCTAAGGCTTGTCCACAATAGAGTGTTATTCCAGTGTATAATAAAACACATTAAGCCAGACTGACAGGTGAATACAAGAACAGCACAGGACAGGAAATGGTGACACACACACACAGAGCACAGTGTGGTATGCCATCAAAGAGAAATAACATCCTAATATGGATGAGTTTAGAAGAGCAGATGGATGGGCTGGGAACACCTTGCTCAACCTAGTACCTGGAATGGATTGGGTAGGGCTCAAAGGGTTTAAGTGATCCCTGTGTGTTACCATTCTGTTTTACATGACACACAAGTGTGTGTGTGGTAGGGTGAGCGTGGCATTACACAAAAAGAGCAATAGATAGTGACATTTAAATGGGCTAACTGTCCTTTGGTAGGCAATGCACAAGTGACATGTAGCCTGTGTAGCGGAAAAAAAAACACCTTAGGATAGATCAACTGTTGCACCCTTGTGTTTCTCCCTCACTCTCTAGACCTGTTGCTGTCCTTTGTCTCCTTCCCCCTGCCCACACTACCTTGTTCTCTCACTTACTCTCTTTAATAAAATAAACATGACTCATGTGGCTATATATTGTCCTCTGGCTGCTGTAGCTCAAATAAAATCCTCTTGGCTGCATTTATTTATCAATGAATCTGGACTGTGACTCCCCTGCTTTCATGTTGCAGGATATGGTGGTATATGATTAAGGGTGCTATTACAGTTTGGCAGCTCTTGACTTTACTCCATAACCTCTGCTGGCATAATGTACTCTAATGTTTTTGAGTTCCATTTGAACTTCAAACTATGCTACTGTTCCTAGCATGTTGATTAAGGATGTCCACGTTTAGAGAGCACACCACCATGTGCAAGTGTAATTAGTGGAGACAGAATCATGAGGTCCTAAAATGTAAAGACATAAAGCATGGTACATTTTTGTTGTCTAGTAGTCTGATGCATTACTTTCTATTTCTACATGTATTTCATTATGTTGCTTACTCTTAATTTCATTTATTTTTCTGGAGGATTAATGAATATGGTTTGCTATGCATCTGTGCTGCTAGTTTTGCAGCACTGCGGTCCACACACAGACTAGAGGATGTCAATGTAAACACAGCCAGTCAGTGCAAAGGAATGTGTGAGGCATGCAAAAAACCCTGGGGACAAAGTCCAAAGGAGAAAGGGAGGGGTGGAGAAAGGAAGGGGGGGTGGAATAAAGAAAAAGAGGTAAGAAAAAAATTAGGTTAAGACAAGTATTAGATGAGGAAGAAAGAACTACAAGGCAATGCATGAACTTGAGGAAAAAGTGTGGGAAAGGAAACTTGATTTTAAGGCCTGGGTAGAGAAAAAAGGAGTAAAGTCAAAGCCTCACCCTGGAGGAAGGGAGATGGAAATGGGGAGGAGGAGGAGTGTTGAAATAGAAGAAAAAGAAGGTGAGAGGGGGTCGGTTAAGGGCAG